TAATCTAGATCTCTTCTTCCTCCTCTGATTATACTGAAAGACAAGTTTAAAATCATTATCATCTTCTGCAGTGAACTGTCATTTTCTTTAAGATGCAAAACTAGGCAAATGTCATCACTTTACATAAGATTCAGAATTGTCAGGCACAACTACAGACTGTCATAGAATAACAGGTAGGTACTTGAGTAAAAAATAATGAGGTAAAGATAAATGAGGTGCTCTCATTGTTTCACAGGGTTTTTACTTTCCGAAAGGAAAAGGAAATGTAGATCAGAGGTTATAATGCTCTTTTGAACTCTCATTGCTCTCCTGATAAAACTCTCCCCCATGGTCATCTTCAGATGCAGCTCACTGTCTTTGCTTTCCTCATGCCAGCACAGTGAAACGGTGTCAAGTGGCCAGATGTCCTAACTGCCTGGTTCATAGACCTCAAGTTTCAGCACTTGACTCCTGAAACATCTGTATTCAATAAAGGAACACCTGACTCATGGTGATAATGGAGGTAGGGGTGCTGGATGAAGGACTCCTCCATGGTTAAAATAATTACCTTTTCAAAGAAGTTGCTTTTAGAACTGAGCTCCTCAAGGCAAGGGACTGTTTCATACTTATTTTGTATCCCCCATTTTCTGTTTTTCTATCCTGAGTCATCGCATAATGCCTGGTACTCATAAATGCTAAATAATTTATTCATTTTTGCTACTTGCTTTTCTTTGCCACCTATAACTTCTTACAACACTGCTTGCCCAGTTGTGGGCAAAAGTAAACTGCAGCTCGACACCATGATTATTTCTGAAGTAGCGTGTGTGCGTCCATGGGTCCTCGTCCATGGGATTTTCCAGGCAAGAATATTGGCGTGGGTTGCCATTTCCCCCTCCAGGGGATCTGCCTGATCCGTGTCTCTTGCGTCTCCTGCATTGGCGGGTGGATTCTTTACCACTATGCCACTCGGGAAGTAGAGTCGTCCATACTAAATTTCACAATAAATATTAAATAATCCAGTCATCTTTGTTTCCTTGTATCAATGGTACTTTTGTATATACCTTGAGGAGACAGACCAGAGATTTCTTTTGGTATGGAGAGGACAGCTGAAAGATATCATGCCCTGGACACATTCAATAAATACAAAGGATGAATCAAGGAAGGGCGGGTTTATTTATTTATTTATTTATTTTTAATGTTTATTTATTTGGCTGCATCGGGTCTTAGCTGTAACATATGGGATCTAGTTCCCTGTCCAGGGTTCGAACCTGGGCCCCCTGCTTTGGGAGCACAGAGTCTTAGCCACTAGATCACCAAGGAAGTCCCGGAAGGGCAGGTTTAAATCGCTACAGATTCACTCGGCTTTGCTTCTTAACAATTTAAGGAAGAAAAATGGAATCTAGAGAAAAATTAAATCTCAAAAATCAAGACCTTTCAGAATGACTCCAATTTTCAGCATGAAGCTCTGAGTTTAATTTTTTAAGTCAACCCTGTAAAACAAACAAATGTAGTGCTAGTGCACATGATGGAATTCCAGCTGAACTATTTAAAATCCTAAAAGATGACGTGGTTAAAGTGCTGCACTCAATATGTCAGCAAATTTGGAAAACTCAGCAGGGACCACAGGACTGGAAAAGGTCAGTTTTCATTCCAATCTCAAAGAAGGGCAATGCCAAAGAACATTTCAACTACTGGACAACTGCACTCATTTCCCATGCTAGTAAGGTTATGCTCAAAATCCTTCAAGCTAGGCTTCAATAGTATGTGAACTGAGAACTCCCAGAGTACAAGCTGGATTTAGAAAAGGCAGAGGAACCAAAGATCAAATTGCCAACATTTATTGGATCATAGAGAAAGCAAGAGAATTCCAGAAATACATTTACTTCTGCTTCATTGACTACGCTAAAGTCTTTGACTATGTAGATCACAACAAACTGTGGAAAATTCTTAAAGTGATGGGAATACTAGACCACCTTACCTGTCTCCTGAGAAACCTGTATGTGCGTCAAGAAGCAACAGTTAGAGCTGGACATGGAACAACCGACTGGTTCAAAACTGGGAAAGGAGTACCTCAAGTTGGTATATTGTCACCCTGCTTATTTAACTTCTATGCAGAACACATCATGTGAAATGCTGGGCTGGATGAATCACAAGCTGGAATCAAGATTGCTAGGAGAAATATCAACAACCTCAGATATGCAGATGACACCACTCTAACGGCAGAAAGTGAAGAGGAACTGAAGAGCACCTTGATGAGGGTGAAAGAGGCGAGTGAAAAAGCCAGCCAGAAACTCAACATTCAAAAAACTAAGATCATGGCATTTGGTCCCATCACTTCTGGGCAAATAAATTTGGAAAAAGTGGAAGCAATGACAAGTTTTATTTTCTTGGGCTTCAAAATCCCCATGGATGGTGACTGCAGACTTCAAATTAAAAGACGCTTGCTCCTTGGGAGAAAAGCCATGACAAACCTAGATAATGTATTAAAAAGCAGAGACATTACTTTGCTGATACAGGTCCATCTAGTCAAAGCTATGGTTTTTCCACTAGTCATGTATGGAGGTGAGAGTTGTACCATAAAGAAGACTGAGCGTGGAAGAGTTGATACTTTTGAACTGTGGTGCTGGAGAAGACTCTTTAGTGTCCCTTGGACTGCAAGGAGATCAAACCAGTCAGTCCTAAAGGAAATCAACCCTGAATATTTATTACAAGGACTGTGGCTACAGCTAGCTGAAGCTCCAATACTTGGGCCATCTGATGAGAGGAGCTGATTTATTGAAAAAGAGCCCGATGCTGGGAAAGATTCAAGGCAAAAGGAGAAGGGCGTGACAGAGGATGAGATGGTTGGATGGCATCACCGACTCAATGGACATGAGTCTGAGCAAATGCTGGGAGATAGTGAAGGACAGGGAAGCAGAAGTTCATGGGGTCACAGAGAATTGGATACAATTTAGCGACTGAACAACAACAACACAAAACCTAACAAATAGTTTTGATTGCATTTATGGTCGTCCACATGCTAGCTGGAGCAAAGAAATATTCAGCAATGGTAAAAAGTCAGGAAAATAGTTCACAAGAATCCAACTTCCAATTTTGGTTATATAAACTATTGTGAAGATTATATTAAGCCAAACATATACATTATGATGAAATATTTTAATTTGAGGGAGGCTTAATGTTTAGATGATACAAAGGATAGCATATTTACAAAATTCAGAAGGATGAACTTTAGGTAAGGGAGGAGAAACAGGAAAGTTTGGCTCAGAGTTGATAGAAAATTCCCTTAGAGACCTGTAACTGGGCAATTATCACAGATTGTATAACTGCTCCTTTTTTGAATATGAATGTGTTCAATATATAGTGGGAACACTGTTTATATTGAATCTACAAATGCTCCTTTGTCCAAGGAAAGTTCCACCAAACAAATGACCAAGTTATAAACTTCGCTTTTGTTGCACTACACACATTGTCTACACCTTAGATGCAAAGTAAGACAGGAAACTGAATTCCAGATGAGAACAATGAATTTCAGTTTTGAGTAACAAGAGGTAGAATTTCAATTATGGAAACACTGGAAAGAGATTAGATCATTTTAAACACCTTGTCAGGGTTTGTAAATGTTGCTTAAAAAGATAACTCACAATTCAGGTTTCAATTTTTGCAGATTATTTCTAACTAATAAGCATATATTTTTACTGCCCAAATGTTAGTGCAGGAGAAATAATCCAAACAGAGAAAAAAAATTTTCACTATTAGAGTGGGGACAAAATATTTTTTAGGTTTCTCTTTACTGAAAAAAAAAAATGTTATTGGCAAGTTAGTCAGCTTTTGAATCAATATTTGAAAATTGCTAATTATTATTAGATGATGTTTTCAATATAAAAAGTCATGCATAAGCTAAAAAATTTCACTAAAAGTAAATAAGAAAAATATATACTCAAATGAGTATGTGAGCACAGCCGATGAACACTATAGATTAAATTATTATTTTAATTCATTACCCATTTCTATTTTTTACATTGGTAATATATGCTGGTCTTTTAATGGTGCATTAGAAAATTTAGTAATGATTCTTTTGGGGCAGGGGTCTACCTCAGAGTGGAGTCTGCTACTGAAATACAGATGAATTTAAGACCTTCTTCACTATCTTCCACTGATTGATACATACATAACCTAGGAATACACGAAGAAATACTCAAGGACCACAAGCCATAAAAGAGAAATAAAAATTAAAATGGAAAACATTTCAAAGGTAAACTTGGTCTGTGATGCCTTGACCATAGTTGCGATATGTTCTGAATTTAGAATTTAACTCTTCTTTAGAATAAGGCTTCAAATTACAGTTCTCAGATGTATAACTTTAGCATTTAAAATTCACTCCCTGCAGTGATAAATTGAAATTCTATGAGCATGCAAATCTCTAATGATTACCATATTCTACTCTTCCTTCAATTGATTTGCATGTGGCACTCTGAGAGCGTAAATATGGGTTAAATTTCCACATGGATCAACTTTGAATCTTCAACTTTGAAGCCTCACTTTCTTTGTAAAACGCACGTGTTACCTTTCTCACGGCCAGCTCCCTCAAGCAGGTACTGACTGCCACATGTTTGTGATGTTTGTAAAGAAGGCAGAGAAGTGCTGGGTGGGTACTAAGTAAGTACCTGGGCAGGTACTAAGTAAGCAGGTACTAAGGACCTCCTTGCCTGCAGCCTGCGAGAGGAGCAGGGGATCAGGTGTGGACAACACACAATGATTTCAACACTTTTTAGGCAAAGGCTCTCACCAGTCTCACCCTGAGTTTCCACGCTTCAGTGAAAGATCAGCCCAGGATCCTGGGAAGCTCAGTCATACATTAAACCTTCTCACAGCCACCTTCTGAATTGTGTGTGTGGGATAACTGCTGTTAATTCTAACCACCTCCTGCAAGGACAGCTTTGTACCACAGACACCAGAATATTGTTACTCTTAACGCATGAGGCAACATTCCCCTTGAAATATGCAGTTACTTCACTTCTTACCTTTTCAATTTTTTCATCCAGCATTCTGAAGAATTCTTGTTGGCTTTCAGAGATGTGCATGCTGAAAAACAAAGAGTAGTTAAGTGCATATTTTCAATGTTTCCCAGTTCCCGCAGGTGAAAAATGCTGAGGGTCTAAACTTTGAGGCTGTCATTTATTTCTTGCAGACTTTTCCACTGAAGTGCTCTGAAGTCATACTAAGGCTGAATGTCACGATAGTAATCCTACAAGTGTGTTTCATAATAGCCTATCAGTTTCTACAACTTACGGAACACAATTTCCTTTCAATGTACATATTATTTATGTTGGTGTTACTGGGAGGTATGTGCCCATTTTTTTCTTCAGATACGCATCTATAATTAAAACAAAAAGTGCAGGTAAGCAGCATATGGCATATTTCAATGCTGTAAGTATAACAAGAAAATATATCCTGGGACTTCACTGGCAGTCCAGTGGTTAAGAATCCGCCTTCCAATGCAGGAGACGCGGTTCAATCCCTGGTCGGGGAACGAAGATCCCATATGCCATGGGGCAACTAAGTCTGTGCTTCACTATGAAGACCCCACGTGCCACAACTGAGATCCAGTGCAGCAAAAAATAAAATAAATAAATATTTTTAAAAAAAGATTCGTTAAAAAACATATCCTAATTATGATGTTAAAATGTGTATTTTACCAGAGGCGCGAGCCGGCATTCAGCTGACCGTATGGCTGTGTGCTGGCTGCAGACGTGCCAAGAACTTAACCTTGCCCCTAAACGTTGTTGATACTGGTGACAGCAAATGTTCCTCTTTGGAACTGAAATTCCACTGGAATGGGGAGTAAGTGAGGAGGCATGTCTGAGCAGCCCTCGCCCTGATTCCCTGTTCTTTGCTATGTAACAGCATCCTCAGTGAGATGGGCGTGGTTGGTGGGGACAAAACCAAGAAGGTAAGGAGAGCAGAGATCACGGATGGGAGGGGAAGGGCCTTGGGGGCAATGAGGTCTTAATGACAGCAGTTTCTACCTGGCAGAGAGTTGTGGGTGTTCCAAGGTGGTTCAGGATGCTGGGGTAAGAGACACATGGTCCAGTATTTCTTTCACTTGCCATTAATGCCTACTGGTTTAGTGGCTGGGGGTGCGGGGAGGAGAGGCTCTGGTAGAGCCTCTTCCCCTCCCGTCTAGGTGTGGCAGGCAACCTACTTGACATCCCCTGCAGCGGCCACATAGAGGGGCATGAGTGACCGGAAACCCTTCAGGCCTCCCGTGACAGATAATAAGGCTTAAAGGAGGTTTCCCCTGTGTGTCAGATCTAGATTTAAAATAATATCAGCTCTGATATAAAAGAAAAAGAATGAAGATATCTGATACCAGCATCAACTTTCTTTCACAGTTCTAAAGCACTTTCACGTATAATCTAATTTTTGCCATCCTTTCCAGTAGTCATGTATGGATGTGAGAGTTGGACCATAAAGAAGGCTGAACAGCGAATTGATGCTTTTGAACTGTGGTGTTAGAGAAGAGACTTGAGAGTTCCTCAGAACTGCAAGGAGATCCAACCAGTCCATCCTAAAGGAAATCAGTCCTCAATATTCACTGGAGGGGCTGATGCTGAAGCTGAAGCTCCAATACTTTGGCCACCTGATGCACAGAGCCGACTCTTAGAAAAGACTCTGATGCTGGGAAAAATTGAAGGCAGGAGGAGAAGGGGATGATCGAGGATGAGATGGTTGGATGGCATCACCGGTTCAGTGGACATGAGTTTGAGCAAGCCCCGGGAGATGGTGAAAGACAGGGAAGTATGGCGTGCTGCAGCCCATGGAGGTGCAGGGAGTTGGACACTATTGGATAACAACAAATATGATCATTCAAATAAGGCAGACGTTCTGTTTCAGCAACAGGTCCTCTTTCACTGCATTTTACAAGGCAGGGCAGAATCTTGGATGATGAGAGAGATTAAACCGTCTCCTCTCTTTCTCTGGCTGGACAGAAAAGCTATTTTGCAAAGTTGAGTTTCCCCAGATTTCCTTCTTTAAGTGCCAAAACGTTGTTCATTTGAGCCACTCTGGATGCAAGTCTTCTAAACTGTATACTCTTGAATAGCCGTCTATCTCAAACATTACTTAGCTTCCACTTGACGACCGGCAGCCACTCTCCTCACCTTAAATCACAATGCTCTTCTGTAATACTGGGATAGCCCTGAAGCCTCTAAGATGGCTCGAGCTGGCTCTCTTTAAGCAAAATGACCTTAGACTCCAGGCTTTTGTTCTCTGCCTGCTTTTGAGCTCTTCCTTTCATTTCTCCTTGTCAGAGAAGGTATCAGTCCTCTTTCCATTTTCTTCTCAGTTTCTGCTTTGACTCCATGCTTAGAAGCAGCGCAGGCAAATTTGTTCAAGTTGTGTCTAAAGTTAGCATAAACAGGCACCAAAGGAGAGCCTGGGGGAATTCTTGTTAGTGGGAAGCACGAATATTCTGGTACCCACTGTGGCTGCTCAGACACTTTTGGGGGCATCCTTCCTATTCTTAGCCAAGCTCTCAGGAGATGACTTTGTTGACCAGCTCTGGGTCCCAAACAGGAAAGGCATGAAGATATTTATATATAAGTCTTAGACCCAGGTTTGATCCTTGGGTCGGGAAGATCCCCTAGAGAAGGGAAAGGCTATTCACTCCAGTATTCTTGCCTGGACGATCTCATGGACAGAGGAGCCTGGTGGGCTACAACCCAGAGTCACACAGAGGGTCATAGGGGTCACACAGAGTTGGACATGATTGAGCGACCAATACATTTATGTATCTTAATATAAATGCCTGCCTGCCTGCTAAGTCACTTTAGCTGTGTCTGACTCTTTGTGACCCTACGGACTGTAGCCCACCAGTCTCCTCTGCCCATTGGATTCTCCAGGCAAGAATACTGGAGTGGGTTGCCATTTCCTCCTCCAGGGGATCTTCCCGACCCAGGGATGGAACCCTCATTTCTTATGTCTCCTGCATGGCTAGGTGGGTTCTTTATAATCAGCGCCATTAGTTTCCCCAGGAAACGCCAAGATGCTTCATAAAGATGGCGCTTTTAGGGTTCTGTGTTCCCTGTGGAAATTTTTGGGTTAGAGTTTTTAGTATTTATCGCCTTGGATACAACAGCAGGGTAATGACTATTTAATTAGTTAATCGAGTGGTCTCTATTTAAATTCATGTGATTTGCGATCCTCACAGAGACAGCACCATTTGTTAGCATGGGTGAGGTGCAGGCCTCAGATTCCTCATTTTAAAACAGCGAACAGGTCTCTGAGGTCCTTTTGGCGCTAATGTTCTGTGATGTTACTAACTTCCATTAACTCCATTATTGTAAACATCAAAGCATGGAAATGGGGATGTTTGGTTAGTACTCAGACATATGCACATTGCATGGACAAGAGAAGAGTTCTCTAGTAAAAGCGACTCTGCAAATGTGTCTGCCATCCCTGCGAAGGACACACAGGCTCAGGGGCCCCATCACGTGCTTGAGATCAGAGGTGAAGGACCTCAGACTGTCTACATGTAAAGCAAGCACGAAACCTCAGGGAAGTGGGGCAATCCCAGCCCTCACAGCAGGACACACCGTTGCTAGTAGTTCATGGCTTGCATTTCTTCAGTTGATTATTTTTTAAAAAATAGTATGATAAGTACCCATGAAACCAAAACAAAGAAAACAAAGCTAGGATCTTAACAACAACCTAGAGGTTACTCACTCCCCACCCATGCATGCGTTTCTCCACCTCAACCCTCATGTCCCCGCTTTCCTACACTCCATCTCTCTATGTGCTTAAAAAGCAGATAATTTATTTTAGATTTAAAAAAAACATTTATTTATCTATTTGGCTGTGTCAGGTCTCAGCTGCAGCATGTGGGCTGTGATGCACAGGTTCTAGAGCATGTGCACTCAGTAGTTGCGGCGTGCAGGATCTTAGTTCCCTGACTAGGGATCGAACCTGTGTCCCTTGCATTGGAAGGCAGATTCTTAACCATTGGACCCCCAGAGAAATCCCTATTTTGGTTGTTGTTAACTTTATAGTGTGTATCATGCTCCATGTAATGTTTCAGGACTTACCCTTTGTTCTAGCTGCTAGAACTAGCTATGCTGCTAGGGGGCATCCAGCATTGTGCATTGCTGCAGTGCATTTGTTTTGACTGCTACTACTCCACTGTGTGAATATAGTGCAGTTCATTTACCCAATTTCCTGCCAAAGGGCATTTTTGGGGTTGTTTCTAATTGCTAAGGCGTTCTTACCAAGTGTCAGATATCATGATAAGCACCAGGCTTATCATTTCACTTAAACCCCAGTCCTATAAGATAGGATTTTTCACCTCTATTTTTCTTGGAGAAAACTAAAGCTCCAAGACATTAGTTCACTGGACTGAGATTACAAAGGCAATAAGGATACACTCTATGTGGCGCAGCAAACGAAGGTGTGAGCACTATTCACCTTCATTCTTAGTAAATCTGCTGTTAGCAGGTATGTGATTGTCCCTCCACTCAAGGGGGAAACAAACTCATTTTATACAACTGCATGTGCTGTGCGTCAGCGCTTCGTAGTGTCCAACTCTTTGTGACCCCAGGGACTGTAGCACACCAGGATCCTCTGTGCATAAGGATTCTCTAGGCAAGAATACTGGAGTGGGTTGCTATATCTTCCTCCAGGGGATCTTCCCCACCCAGGGATCGAACCCAGGTCCCCAACATTGCAGGCGGATTCTTTACTCTCTGAGCCACCAGGGAAGCCCATATACAACTGCATAATAAATAATAATTTCCTGAATCCTATGTGTCAGCATGTAGGAAAAGTAAATCCTTCTCTCAGACCTCCAGAAAGATTTCTTAGTTGAATTCTGGAAACCCAATGATCTGACTCAGTTTAAAATACACACACACACACACACACACACACACAGAGGCATTATGTTGTATGAAAAACAGGGGATTCTCTTCATAATTTTAGTGTAAACACATGAGCCAATTTAATCAACTTCTCTGAAAGCTTTAGCATACGCCAGACTGCAAAGCATGCTATTTCAGTGCGTCAAAATTAAGTAAATAAGTATTTACTCTAAAGGAAAAAAGAAACTCTCCTTAGTTCTCCTTAATAGAGTATTTTCTTTAGAACTCAGAGATAAGAGAAGCATTTAAAAATAACACACATATAACAGCTTGATGAAAAGATGATGCGATAGTGTCTTCAGATATCTGTTGTCCTCAGAGGCAGATAAAATTAGTGTAGATAAAAGTGGTTACTAGTGGAGTTGATTAGGGAGGTTGTGATTATAGCATAACACTTACCTGAGGGTGAAAAAATTGGCTCTCCCATTATTGGGGAAAAAAAATGGCTGACATTGTAAATGATAAATGAATTTTAAAACGCCCAGTTTTCATCGGAAGTAAGAAATGAAATCCCTGAGCTGACGGACTGCCCCCCGAGTCCTAACCACCACCTCACAGTGGCCATCGCCGCAGCAGCTCCACAGACACCCAGGTTAAAGGGATGATGGTACTTTTGTCTCACCTTCCCAGGAAGAATCAGAGAACTTTTTCCACTTAAGATGCTTATTTACATATATGTCCTCATTAAACTTATCGGGGGTGGGAGTGACTGTATCAGACCCACTCGTGTGATCAGCACCCTTAGGGAATTTGTTCATAGTTAGGCAAAACAGCACAAAAGAGATTTGCAGCCTTTGGGATAATAGCCTTTTTGAAGAAAGGACAGGCAGCTTCCAAGTCACACAAAGTGCATTTTATCACCAGTGACAGACTCAGCTTCAGAATAATATAGAACACTACTCATTATTCTCTAACATTTTAATTGTGAAATACTTAACACACAGGAAAGGAAACATAATGCTATTTGGACATTTTTAAATAATAATAATTAAAGGAACATGCATGTAACTACAACTTGGATTAAGAGAGAGAACCTCTGGTTCCACTGTCTTCTATCCAGGATAAAGAAGCACTGTCCTGAATTTAATGCCTTTTCATTTCCTTGCTTGTTTTACTGTTTTATCATATGTGCTTAATCGCTCATCATGTCCAACTCTTTGTGACCCCATGGACTGCAGCCCGCCAGGCTCCTCTGTCCATGAGGATTCTCCAGGCAAGAATACTGGAGTGGGTTGTCATGCCCTCCTCCAGGGGATATTCCAGCTCAGGGATTGAACCCAGGTCTCCCGCATTGCAGGCAGATGAGTCTTTACCAACTGAGTCACTCTTTTTTTTACTGACTGAGCAATATGTGTATACATAGATGTATAATATATGTATGTACAAATATTTCTTAGTTCTGCCTGTTTTTGAATTTTTATATGCATGAAACTGTACATAGGCAGGTACTACTACTTACTTTCTTACTTTACTGGCACAGTCTGACATTTCATGAGATCCCTCTATCTTGATCTATGTAGCTAAAGGTCATTTATTTTCACTGATATGTAGTATTTCCATAAGACTATACCACAATTTTGTTATTCATTATACATTTGATGGACATTTGGGTTTTATCTCTAAGGTTTTTTTTTTTTTTTTTTTTGGCTGTGCTACATGGCATGTGAGATCTTAATTCCTCCACCAGGGATCAAACCTGTGTCTGCTGCAGTGGACATGTAGAGTCTTCTTAACCACTGGGACACCAGGAAGTCCCATCCTTTCAAGAAATTTAAGAGTTCATATAAACAGTGCTGCTATGGATATTTCAAAATATGCCTATTGGCACACCTTCATCAGAGTTTCTTTAGGGTATACACCTGAGGGTGGAGGCGCTAGGCAGCCAGGTATGCCCAGGTACAATTTTACTAGATAAGGCGAAGTGTTTTCCAAAGTAATTGTACCAGTTTATATTCCCACCACCAGGAGTTAAGCGTGCTGGTTGTCCCACATCCTGGTAAACTTTGTCTATCAACAGACTACTATATTTTTGCCAATCTTGTGGTGTGACATGTTAGTTTTTCCTGACACATCAGCTATTCATTTCCCTCTTCAGTCAAGTGGTTGTTTATGTCTTTAGCCTATTTTTCTGTAAGTTCTATCTTTTACTTATTGATTAGTTAATTTACATATCTTGGAAATCTAACTGGGCTTCCCTGATAGCTCAGTTGGTAAAGAATCCACTTGCAATGCAGGAGACCCTGGTTTGATTCCTGGGTCGGGAAGATCTGCCAGAGAAGGGATAGGCTACCCACTCCAGTATTCTTGGGCTTCCCTGGTGGTTCAGTCAGTAAAGAACTGGCCTGCAATGCAGGAGACCTGGGTTCAATCCCTGAGTTGGGAAGATCTCCTGGAGGAGGGCATGACAACCCACTCCAGTACTCCTGGGATTCCCTTGTGGCTCAGCTGGTAAAGAATCCACTATTGCTAATTATATGTATTATAAATATATTCCAACATTTTGTGGCCTTTTACTCTCCTATGCTATATTTTGAGAAGTAGAAGTTGTTAATTTTACTGTAGTCATAAAAATTAATCATTTTTCTTACAATTTGTATCCTTTGTGACTTATTCAAAGTTCTTCACTACCCCATGGTCATGAAGATACTGCCCGTCATTGTCTCCTACCTGATGGGAAGTGTCAGCTCGGTCATATACTGCGGGTCTGCCTTGGGTCTCTGTTATGTTCCATTAGACTAAGTCATGTGTCTCAATCACTGAGGCCGTTTCTTAAGTCTTGGTTATCCAGCAGGCAAAATGGAGCTCACTCTAAAAATGTTTTTATCTCTCAAAACAAAATAGGCAAATAGGAACTGGAACTTACTTTGCTCTGGGTTGATGAACTAATCCTGGAATCTCCTTATTGGTTTTAAGTCTTACATTTGAACTGGCACTTTTTTCCTGAAACACATAAACACACATGGAAAAGACAAGGTAAGAATCAGCAATTAAACAGGAGCATGAATTTTCATTACCAAAATGCGAAATTTGTTTGGGAGCCTTTACAGCTGGTTACCTCATGCAGACAAAAGTCCTTAAAGATGTCACATAGAACAGGTAGAACTGCCAGATATTTTAACAGGGAACACTATTGTGAAAAGAAGAATGAACTTTTATAACAGCTATAAAATGGCTCCTTTTAGAAAATTACATGTGAGTAGTATTTGATTTTTAGGTGGAGCTCCTAAAAATAGTAAGAGAATCAAAAATCAGAAGATCCTAGTGTGAAAAAAAGCAACAGTAGTATAATCACAGTCATTGGTTGCTTGCTCAGGATAAGTAATTTTGTGCATTTTGTTTGTGAAAGACAACTGAAGTTACTGAGTTTGCACAAGGCCCTTGCAGCGACAGGGACATAACTAAAAATAGTGAATATTTTCCATGAATGATGAATATTGAGATTGAATTCAATTAAATTAATCAAACCCAATCTAGCCTGTATTCTGGAAGTACTTTGACTTTTAGCCTGATCTGAACTCTTATTCCCCATCAACCAGCCACATAGGAAAGGAATACTTTCAAATCTTAAAATGCAAATATTATCAGCAAGCACACTATCTCAATAATACTACTGCTCTGCAGTGATGTGGATGAACCTCAGGCCTGTTATACAGAGTGAAGTAAGCTAGAAAGAGAAAAACAAATATTGTGTACACTACCATGAGTAAAACGGATAGCTAGCGGGGAGCTGCTATATAGCACAGCAAGCTCGGCTGGGGGCTCTGTGAGGACTGAAATGAGTGAGATGATGGGGCTGGGAGGGTGACTCAGGAGGGAGGGGAGATATACACACACATAAGGCTGATTCACATTGTTATACACAGCACTGTAAAGCAGTTATTGTCCAGTAAAATTTTTTAAGGCTTTAAAATTTGCTCTCTAAATATACCCACCAAAATGAAATGTTAAACCCATTTAACGGGTGACTACACACACTCAAGCAACCTGAGGTGTGGCAATAATTAAAAGACCTGGGCTAGGGCAAGAAGTAAAAAGTTCTGTGGGCCAACCCAACATTCTCACCAGAGGCAGAGTGATGTGGGAGGGCACACAGAACAGATGGTCCTCAAATGAGCTCTTTCAAGAGTTCATACTTCCCCTAGGATAGCAGAAGTCATGCAAGAAAAGCTACATGTGACATGTAGAATCAGAGAAACTACAGTGACTTGCATGCTAGGTTGTTTGCTATTTACCATCAAACACGAGCATATTGTATAATGTCAGTCCTCCAAAATACAGGATAATTCTGTCTGTGATCCTCCAGGAGAAGAAAAAATCGTTACAATCCTTTTGCAGTCTAGCTTACCTTCTCTACCTCACATTAAACTTGAAACTGTTTTCATGAACATTTGAAAAGTATAAAATATATACTATTCCCTTTGTTGATACAGTCAGAGAACAACAAATGAACTATCTTATTTTTTACAGAGAAGGTGGGAGAACAATTAGGAAACTTGAATGCACTACCTCCAGGAGGGCGGGACCCACAACTCCTCTTTATGGGCCTGGTTAGGAGACTGGCACTTCATAGGAGGCATTCATCAAATATTGGTAGAACAAATGAATGATGTCAGCACATAATTAACTTTTTTAAACAGTTAGAGATAAAAATAGCTCAACTGTAGTCTCTCTGCAGGACTGAAGATGTAAGTTCCCTCCAAATGAGTCATTTTCTCCCTAAACTTTATGTCTGCTTGGATTAAGCATTGAAAATGGATTTTTTCTGTTTGAAAAAATATCTACTTGATATGACAGAACCTTATACTTTTTCTCTATTCATATAATTTCCTAAACTCTTTGAACTTAAATGAGGCATCATAATTTTTTTTTTTTGATGCATCATAATTTTAAACACTGCTAAGGCAGGAAAGAGACTTCTAAGAATGACATACTTGTATCCTATTTCTGTTCAGTTTATTAGACTACCCTCCATAATTATACTGTCTCACAAAATCTTCCTTAAAAATGTATTGTGTAGTTGCTAAAAAGAAGGATCCCCCATCAAATATAACAGAGACTTAATAGATGGGAAAGATACTTTAGGATATCAGGTATAGATAGACACGCCTTCCCAGGAAGTGAGAGGACCAAAGGTGAGGCAGAAGCAAGGGCAAGGGGCAAAGCAGCTGGAGATTTCCCAGTTAACAAATATATATATAATTACATACAGATTTATGTCTATTTTGTATTTATAATGTATTTGTTTTTTTACAAGTTACCACTCACCAAGAAATCAATAACAAATCATGGAGCATCTACTGTAAGTCAGGTCCTAACTGGTTTGCATGCATCAACTCATTTTGATGTTCACAAGTATACACATATTAATTCATTTGTATGCCCACACACTTCTCTGAGATGTGTACTGTTATTATCTCCATTTTTTAGATGAGGAAGCTGAGATATAGAGGGGTGAAGCACTTACTGGGATTCTTTAAGTAACAAGTAATAGCACTGGGATTTGAATCCATGCAGAATGGGCCCAGGGTTCACGCTATTAGTCACTAGGTTGGTAGTCCTCAACCTTTTTAGTACCGAGACCCCTTACCTATATTCTCCAAATTTTGATGCATTTCATTATACAACATGAAAAAAAAAATCACATTTGTTAAAATCAGCATCAATCTCACAAGAAAATTCTTGACAAAAGCTGTCAGGCTTATGGTGGTGGACACAAGTTCTCCAAACTTCTAGTTCTGGTTTAACATTTGAATTTTATAAGCAGCAATGATAACTGACAATTGTTTTCTTTGGAGAAATAGGCTCTCTTCATTCGTTTCTGAGAAAACATTTGCCAGATACCCAAGTCTGAATATCCAGTATTCTACAGTAGAGATGGTGACTCAAAAAAAAAAAACTGCTAGTCCAGCTTGCAGCTCAATCAACTGCAGAAGTGCTTTTCCTGAGATAACCATCTTACTTATTAAAAAATAGAAAGATATGCATCTAAGGTATAATAGTTAATAAAATTAATTTCTACTGAGTCATTTCTAAAAGAAATGAAATATGGTCATTTGTAGAGATATGGATGGACCTAGGGGACGACAGAGGATGAGATGGCTGGATGGCATCACCGACTCAATAGACATGTGTTTGAGTAAACTCCCGGAGTTTGTGATGGACAGGGAAGCCTGGTGTGCTGCGATTCATGGGGTCACAAAGAGTCGGACACGACTGAGCGACTGAACTGAACTGAGAGTCTGTCATACAGAGCAAAGTCAGTCAGCAACAGAAAAACAAATATCACATTTTAACATATACATGTGGAGTCTGAGAAAAATAGTACAGATGAACCTACTTGCAGGGCATGACAGAAATGCAAATACAGAGAACGGACATGAGGATGTAGGAGGGGAAGGGGGTGGGATGAATGGGGAGATGAGGACTGACATATATACTCCACCACGTAAAACAGATAGGGGAAGCTGCTCTATGTATAGCGCAGGGAGCCCAGCTCTGTGCTCTGAGCTGACCTAAAGGGGCGGCAGGGAGGGCGGCGAGAGGGAGGTCCAAGAGAGAGGGGATGTATGTATGCATATAGCTAATTCACTTCATTGCACAGCAGAAACCAGCACAACAGAATAAAGCAATCATACCCATAATAATAGCACTGCTATGATTACTAATAAGATGTGCCTGGATTTGTGCTAAAGCACAAGCAGTTTTGCCCAGCACTGCTTTTGCCCCATCAGTGCAAATGTCAACAGAGTGGAAAATGGCAAATAGCTTCTTTATTATTAGGAAAACGACCTTGAAGTCTCCCTGAGAATGTCTCAGGAGCCTCCAGGGGCCTGCAGGCCACACTTGAACTATAGGGTCTTTTTATTTCTTTTGTATAGCAAAGAATTGTCGATTATTTAATTGTGGTATATACTTTAATAAAGAAAAAAAACATTTACTTGCCGTATTGAGATAAAATCTATATTCAATAAGATTTCCCTGTTATAAAAGTATGATTAAATGATTTAGTGGGGGCCTCCCTGGAGGCTCATATGGTAAAGAATCTGCCTGCAATGCAGGAGACCTGGGTTCAATCCCCGTGTCAGGAAGATTCTCTGGAGAATGGAACGGCTACCTACTCCAGTATTCTTGCCTGGAGAATTCCATGGACAAAGAAGCTTGGTTGGCTATAGCCCATGGGGTTGCAAAGAGTCGGACACGACTGAGTGATTAACATCTTCACTTTAAATAATTTAGTAAATTTATAGAGGTGTGTAATTATCACCACAATTCAGTTTTAGAACAGTTCTATCAGCCCCCAAAGTTTCATCATACATCTATGCTCTCAGCAACCTCAGATCTGCTTTCTATCTCTACAAATTTGCTTTGTCTAGATTCATATAAAAGGAATCATATAATATATAGGCTTTTGCATGTGGCATTATCACTTAATGTAATGTTTGAGGTTCATTTATACTTTAGCATATTTCAGTATATCATTTACTTTAATTGCTAAGTAATACTCCAACATATGGATATACTGTGTTTTGTTTAAGCATGCAAAATTAATGAACATATGGACTGGTTCCAGTTTGTGGCTATTATGAGTAATGCTGCTATGAACATTCATATACAAGTCTTTGTGTGGACATATATTTTCATTTCTCTTGGGTGGATTTCAAGGAGTGGAATTGCTAGATTATATGGTAAGTTTATATTAGACAATTTAAGATATCAGCAAACTGTTTTCCAAAATGACTGCACTGTTTTTACATTTCCACAGTACATGATGGTTCCAGTTTCTCCACCTCCCCACCAACACTTGGTATTGCCTTTGATTATAGTCATTCAAGTGGGTATTTCATTGTGGGCTTTATTTACTTTACAAATGTGACTTATTTGCTTTTGTCCTTTGTTTCTTTGTATCTATGAGAACACCTACACCTTGCTACATTTATGGG